ATAAATTATGTAAAAAAATATTAAGAAATCATGTAATTTCTATAAAATAAAAAATCAATATGAGTTTGTATAAATTATATAAAATATATCAAAATAGTATAATTTTCTAAATTATATTAGTTCATATAATTTATATGTTGTATAATTTATTATACTTTATGTATAGTAAATTACACAAAACATAGTAAACAATGTCCAATATATATGCAGTAATATTTATTTTTTGTAATGACGTGACGTCATTAATCTCTGTTTTATGCAAAAAAAATTGTTATAAAAATGGTATATAAAATATACCATATGTGCATATACTCGTATATTTTTATAAATAATAAGTGTTGATCCCAAACAGTTGACCTCTATATTGTTAGAAATAGCATCGTATGAAATTATTGTGTCAGCTTGTTGCACAGGGTGTAAAATTAGACATCTGCATCGAGAAATATATCGATCATTTCTAAAATAAGCAACTGTTCCAGTATAAACAATTGTGAAGTTTTAGACACTTTTTCGACTGTACAAATCTCATTCATTAATCCGAGATAAGTTTCTCCTTGATTGCGTATAATTAATGCGCGCTCCTTGCTATTTCAGAGCTTCACATTGAAATTTAAAACTATTCTCTTCTGTCGAAGTGTATATCAACGAAGTCGAGTTAGACTTTGACTGTATTATGTTTACAACTTCAAATGCAAATCGATCTTTAACGAGATCGCACCATCGAATTTGAAGAACTTGGAGAATATCTTGTGAGAAATGCAAAATTCAGTCTCATAAGACATTCTAGTTTGATTTTTACGCTTATAAAGATGAATTATAAAATATGAAATAGATTATAATATAGAATTTATTTTTCAAGAAAGAAAACTTTACACGGATTACTTCTTTCGCGTGTATCTGTATAAAACTTTCATGATTCAACTCTATAATGTAATATATATATATAAAATTTTGAGGGAAGGGCTTTAATTTCTTATTGTATTATTTTAAAGAGAGAAAACTCTATATTACTTCTCTTGATCTGTGTAAGACTTTCATAATTCAATTCTATAATTTTGAGGAGAGGACATTGTTTTTTTTTACATTGTTTTTTTTTATTGTATTATATGTCAGTTTAATTCGCTTTGTGATACTATTTGGTTTCAGTTTATTTCCTACCTATTATACTATTCAATATAATGCATGACTATGACATTTAAAACTAACAAAGAATAATTCTTAAACGTGTTTTGTAACGGCAAAATAAAAACTTGTTCCATTATACTATACAACAATAACCAATTATATTTGATATGCATGAACTCTC